CAGTGATTGCATCAGAAAACTTCAAATCAAGTTTTCAACAACTGGTACTGTAATATACATTAGTCTATATTCATTGGCGAATGGTCCATTGCTGATTGTTGTAAACTTAACCGTTACTCCCTTCTTCATTCATATTTGGGACCTTTTAAGGTTTGTTTGTATGTATGTTTGTTTTAAGCTTGCGAAAATCCATAGTTTGCTTACATTATATGGTTATTTATGAAATTTCTACAGGGTAAACTACTGGTGAAGATTTCAATGAAGACCCTCGAGAAAGTTGCAGACTCAGTGTTGGCCTTGACAGTACCTGATGAAAGAACGATATCATTCACAGCGGGACAACTATCCATGACAGTCGGAAGATACAGCCTTCATAGACTTTCAGGACTGAAAATAAAAGCAGGAAAAGGCCGGTTTATCTTACCGTCTAAAAGCCAATTGTTATTCTCTGGAGTAAACAAAACAAGTTTTGTAAATGTTCAGGTAAATATTCCTGCCCTTCAGGCAAATTTCAATCCAAGTTTTTTTTGCAGATACCGACACCAGTCTAGTTAAAATAGCACTTAAAGGTTGCTTATTACCTCCAGCAATCATATTTCTTGTTTTGCTTTTGACGTGTTCAACTCTGGCACTTGGGCAGCAAAAAAAAAATCGAGTCATGTGATCGAAGAGACCACATGAATGTTATTTATTTTTCGTTGTTTTTCAAATATATTTTCAGTTTTATTTTGATCTCAACTTATGATAACTTATGATTAATAGTAAGAAGGATTACCATGTTTACGTGTTCAATCATAGCAGTCCAGAAAAACGAACAAGCAAATTTCTTAATTATACTTCTTTTAGATGCTCTCATTTTCTTTCAATCCTTACACTTGGGACGCCACAAAGGAGCGAGTTGGCTCTGATGTTGTAACCCTGCTCTTGAAAAACAACGATAGCGAGCTTATTAAAGTATCAAATCTTACGGAAGGCATTGTTATCGTCACGCCTTTAAAACTTCAGAAAATCTCTGCTTCAGAAAAGTCGTGGTATTTCACAAAGAACGATGATCTACGTTTCCACGAGATAAACGTCAAGTATGAAAACACCCTGCTGATGCTGGAAATCAAACCTCAAGATCCAACCGTACATCTGTTTGTCTATATGCGTTTTAGTCAGCGACCGACAACTCAAAACTACGACTTCAATGCTACTATCTCTTATGACAAAAAGTGTGTTTGGATGATAAGTGCTCATAACAAAAGTGAAGAGCAAACAGTTTGCTCCTTGAATCCACATGCACCGATACAAGTTCTGGCTAAGCGTCCCGGGAAGTACCTTCTCGGCTTAAAAAATTACAATGCCACAGTGAACTTATCTCATAAAAGGGAGAAAAGATCTTGTCTTGGTGGAAAGCGAAGGAAGCGCTCCTGCGTCGGAGTCAAAGATCCACCACCCACCCCACCCCAGACTGAAAAGGTCTCTGTGATACCAGTCTATGATTCCAAAACAGACCAGAACTTCACTCTAAAAGTGGCCTTAGTTAGTTGTGTTTACTGGTCAGAAAAGTTTGACAAGTGGATATCATCTGGCTGTCGGGTAAGTGAAAAGTTAAGGGACGATTTTCAGGACAATCTTTTTTCTTTATAATTTGACATTGTATTCGACAAAGTTCAGATGATTTGAGCTTTCCCGAGTATTTTTTGCAAAAGCACTGTCGTCTTGTGGTAGTCTTAACTCATTAAGCTTATCATTGAATTCAGGCTAATCTTTGACTAGACAAAAGTCGAATCGATTTGATAACCAGCTGGGGCCTAGCAGCGCCCAAAAACAGAAAAGATACATTGTGATCAGTGTTGACAGCCAAAATGATAATTTTTATTGTTAACATCTTCCTTGTATTTTATAATTTCAGGTTTTAGCAGAATTAAATGGATTTTTAAACTGTAGCTGTAGCCATTTGACATCATTTGGGGGAAGTCTCTTAGTCGAACCGACTCCTATTGACTTCGACAAGGTTCTAGTCGAGTTTCAGCAGTTATCAGAAACTGGAAATATTGCAGTAATCGTGGCTATTGCGGTGGTTTTAATTTGCTATATGACTGTGCTTGTTGTCGTAAGGAAATTCGACAAGGAAGACGCGAAAAATGTAAGTGTCGAACTAAATTTTGCTTAGGACCATTGTTTTAACAGAGCATGCTCTCCAGTATAACCCTTTCACTTTCATGATCTGGTCGTCAATTCTCCGCTCCGGTTGCCATACATCTTTTTTTTTGTAAAAAAGTCATGAAAAGTTGCTAATAGATCAAGACAACATCTTCTCCCTGATAAATTTGAATATTTACTGGGATACCTGTGGTAGCCCTTTGTTTTTTTGTCGTCTTTTTTTTTTTTTTTTTTTTTCCTCCGCCACAAAA